AAGAATTTGTAATGTGGAAAATGTTTACACTGAAACATTGAGTAGAAATTAGATATAAAATGGGACATATATTATGGTCTCAGATGTTTGTATAAAATATATACATAGAACAATGTGATAAAAGTAAATTAAATATTTACAGCTTTAAAAATATTTTGAATTCATATTTTCTAAATGGGAATATGCCACCTTTCCAATGTGTCAAATGATTGAATAAAAAAGATTTATTATTAGTTTTTATCACAGGACTGGGATTACAGTTATTTGGCTGCTTTAAAATTTTTTTGTGTGTGGATTAGGTATGCTGGTCATTATTCATAAAAGTCTGTGGCAACGTTTAAAACAAAATAAAAATTTTAAAGTGAAAGACTCAATGTGTCCAACTTTGAAAGGAAGTACTAATAGAGAAGTCACATTTATACCTTCTTCTCTGAACAGAGTTGAAGAAGAAGGAACAGGTTCCTTAATGACAAATCTCCATAATTGCGGTACACGCTTGAATGGAGTTAGCAATTCCTGACCCAGCACTCACTGCTGCTTAGCAGGCTTTGCAGGCTCATTCATTTCCAGCTGTAGTCTAATGTTTTGTTTTTCTTCAGCTAGTGGGTGGAAATGAGAGACTTCCTAAAAAACACTGAGTTCATGCCTGAGTTTACATTTGCTCCACAAGCTCACACCATTCCGTGAGTGTGGTCACAGCATCCCAGCTCAGATATTAATTCCTTTAGTAAGAACACTCCCAGAGTTTTAGGCTTCAAAAATACATCAGGACAATTCTTACCAATTGGGGACATCTGCCTCCAAGCTTCCTTACTACACGATTGCCTGTCTTGCTTTCTTGGTGACCAGATGCAGTTTGTCCTATAAGTCACTTGATCTGAGCTCTCATCTGATTTTACACCCTGAAAACTGTAGGCTATGTTAAAGTAGAGAACATAGGAATTGTGCATATCATGAATTCAGCAACAATTGAAACTTGCCTTGCAGTTGAGGTCCCTGAAGTCAGCTCCTTGAAGGCTTTTTCTCAGAAAGGCAATGTTGGGCATGGGGATAGGTAGTTCCTCTGGTCCTAGGGAAACTGGATCCAAGTAGGCTGGCAACTCAGAGCCAAAGAGCATCTATTACCCAAGGCTTGTTGTCCTTATGATCTTCCATATGACCCAACAACCCTATCATTATCAACATGATCATGTGTGAATTCAGAGTAATATTTAAATAGATTAGGACTCAAGTGCCAAAACTAGTGCTGCTTTGAGTTCCATACCCCAGAGGTTTAGAATTAGCCATAGGAGCCAAGATGTCAATCAACCAGTTCACCATGTTCTCTCTTGAGATGATATCATCTGTGACCAAGTGGGTGGAAAACAGCCGAGGTGATCGAGTGGACTCTCTGTGGCTGTGGAAATGCGATTCAGAATCTTTAGTGAAAATGCACAGAATGTTCTAGTTATGATTTCAGGATCCAATCAGAGTCTATAATCCAACATCAAGAACATCTATCTGGTCCACAGAGTCAGGGGAAGGACCAAGTAGGATTATTTGTGAAAACATCCATATGTAGGCTAGAGAAACTGCTTATAATATATATATATATTTACACATGTATATAATGTCTTTAAATATATAAATCTGAATCATGCTTAAGAGTAAGAACTTTGGATACACTTTACATTCTCCTACTTATATTTCTTAACTTAGTAACTTTGGGCAAATTCTTCACCCTCTTTTTATATCAGTTTCCAGTTAGACAAAGAGAATGATAAAGGAAGGTGTGGTGGACATTACATGAGATAATATAGGTCAAGAGACTTGGAATCGT